ATGCATTGTGCTGTATCACTTAGTTTGGTTTCTTAGCCTGCTTGCTTTGTGCTTTTCAGAGGGAAGTTGATGAGAGGGAGCCTCCAGTGGTGTCTACTGGGCTAGCCTATGGAACCTACAAAGAACACAAGAACTTTGAGAGACATTTGATTCTGCTGTGACAAGTGAAGTTTACCTTTTATCTAGGATTGTGCATGGCACAGCATAACTTTCTTTCTGTGAAGAACCCAGAGAGGGTTATTTGATCTCAGAAAGGGTTATTAATATTTGGATATGTGTGGTGCGCTGGAGTGTCAGCATGTTTTCTGGAAAACAATAAATGATTACATTTAGGGACCCCTGCGAATGTCACACTTTTTCTGTTAGAAACTGACCCTGGCCCCCCATCAGAGAAGGGAAAAGTTATGTGGCCCTCACTGGAAAAAGTTTGGGGACCCCTGGTCTAGACACATATGAAAATTGTGTATTCCTGTGTTGAAGTCTAATGCAAAGTCCTGACTTTCTACCCTGACCTCCTCAATAAGTCACAGCCAGCGCCGTCGTAGACCCTTAATATGGATGAGAAAAGATTCCGAAAGAGGTTTATGGTGGTGTAACAGCGTCACATTACTTTTACCCTCTGAGATCAGTGCAGTGCTGCAATAGATCTTTTGTCAAGTATTGGAACAATCTGCAATTTGTTTCTGGTGATTAAAGTCTTGGAGGGTTTTTCCTTTAACCTCATTAGCCATGAGCCATTTTTTAGGGACAGATGTGAAAGAAAATAGAACAGTTAAAGCACCTTGACCGGCCTGCAGGAGCTTTTGGTTTTATAATAAATACCCTTTAACCTGATCTTTTGCGTAACTATGACATCATTGTATATATTACGTTTATTCTGGTCCCCCCTGGAGGACTATAGCCTCTCCAAGGTCTCTCCATGCTGCCCATTGCATGCTAAATAGGCTGCAGCCCCCTGCGACCTTGACCACAAATGTGTGTTTTAGTCTTTACGTAATCTGTCCCACAAATGATGATACGGTTGCTCTTTTACACGGTCTGTCCTTAAATACACGATGTTCCACGCAAACAATTAGCTGTGTGACAAAAAGGGAGCTGTGGAGGAGCATCAAACTCTTGATGGTTGGATACCATCAAATTCTGAAACTGGAAACAAGTGTGGAACAAAAACTGGAAACAAGTGTGGAACAAGGGGGTTGAAGATGCTGTTTTAAAATACTGACCCTTTTATAATTTGGTTTTTAGATGTTGTTCTAAGGCATTTTGAGGTATAAAAAACCTTTATACCTCAAAATAACCAACAATTCAACAAGTGACACAGTGGTACCAAATGGAGCCCCCCGGTAGACGTGCAGGACGACTGATCTGCACTTTTACTTGATTCTTTACAATTGAATACACTTGATTTGGGCTCGTTAAATTATTCTTTTGAATGTGTAGATTTAAAGGCCTGAGACAAGAAGCCCATGCTATGTTACAGGAGGGTACAATCCAACATACAGGGAGACATGCGTCTTAGTAAAGGAAAAAGGACATGAAAGAAAAGACATGGAGATAAAAGAAACCCTCACATCTAAAGATGCTATATGCTTTTTTAATGCACGGACGTGCCCGGGGCCGGAGCCATTCAGCTCATTATTCATGCCCTGACCACATTTCTCCAGAGGCAGTGAACATCTCATCCTTCCATTCATCCTTCAAAAAGCCTTCAAATGACTGTGAGGCCTGAATAGTGCGCACTTCTTTGGTGGTTTGAATAGTGCGCACTTCTTTGGTGGTCTGAATAGTGCGCACTTGTTTAGTGGTCTGAATAGTGCGCACTTCTTTGGTGGTCTGAATAGTGCGCACTTGTTTAGTGGTCTGAATACTGCGCAATTCTTTGGTGGCCTGAATAGTGCGCACTTGTGCACTTTGGTGGGTTCAAAAGGGCTTTGCCCAATAGATTCTGGACCGAACAGATGTTTTCATGTGCAGATGTGAGTTTGATGAAAAAGACAACCAACTCACCTAGAGAGTGCATTTTTATGAAAGTGAAGACATATCCTGAGACGTACTAAACACAACTGTGTCTCAATCTTATTACCGTTAAGACTGACAAATCGTTGGGAGATTCATTGTTCCAGGCTCAGATAAATCTTCTCTCAGACAGCTCGCCAACTCATTTGGCTTAGCCCGGTATTAAAGTGCTGCCTTTTGGATAGAAGTCAAAGCTGCAGGGACTTACCTCGTAACACAGTTTTTTAATTTCTTAAAATGGGACAATGAGTTTGAGAAGACCGTATGGCTTTTTGAAGACGTTCACTTTTTTAGTATTCCTTCAAATACTTTTAGTAATCCGAACGCTTTCCTCCACATATTTGCCGTTACAGTCGAAGCGATGCAACGAAAAGCTTTAGTCAAAATAAAGAGACTACAACAACTTTTTGTCACTGAAATAATGATCTGGAGCTGCATGACAGTTATACAATATTTTGGATAGTCTGGAGTTCAACCAGGAAAGGCAAATGAAGTGAACAGAGGACCACATCTTTTAAAATAATTTGACCTCACTTAAAGCTAAAGTTTAAAGATACATTCTGAAGTCCCCACATTTCTTCTGAGCTCAGTGTTAAAGTAAACGTATAACACGTTTTGTGTGACTTTGGTGAATCCGAACTTATGCTTTAAAACGCCAAAGTAACACAGTAACACAAACTAAGTAACTAATCAAGTTAGCGGTAGATCAACAACTGCACCGTGTGGTTAAAATACAATTTATTTGAATGGAGTCTTGTGGCTTTGAAAAGACCATAGATGGAAAAATCCCTGTAGTAAAAAGGTTATCGGACACAATAAATAGCGCGTGAAGCCACTGCAAAGGTGTCTTAAAAGGTGCATTCTCTCAACTGGCCATCAGGGGGCGACTGGTTTGCAAAAAGAAGTCTGATTGTATAGAAATCAATGAGAAGATAACTACCCGCTTACTGAGGCTGACAGGCCGCTGCCGAAGACATTTACAACGTCTCGACTCCCATCCTCGAATATCCAGATGTGGTTTATTATGTTCATCGGTGGCGGAAAAACAACACAACGACCGCCACGGGCCAAGATGGCGATGCTGAAATCGCCAAACCAGAGGCTTTATGACGCCATTGACGTCACGATGACTTGTCGAATTCTTAAAAGCTGTCTGTGAAGGTAGAAAGCTCAAAGTCCACAAGAGAACATCACTTAGAGCTGAGACACTGACTACGAAGGCAAAACAAAGACTCCAGTTCAACACTCGTCATACACGTATTTGGCCCAAGCTAATATCAATTTAGGTCTGGAGCCTCTGCGGAATATGGCCACACAAATCAACCCCCGAACACGGAGACTTCCTGAGCATAAAACGCCCACTGATTAAATTGCCCATTTGGCGGAATCCCAAGCGTCAAATCCTTGGTTCTCCCTCGACGGCGATCTGCTTCTCCAGAGCCAGTGTGTGTGTGTGTGTGTGTGTGTGTGTGTGTGTGTCCTCGTTGTGACCGGAGGGGAGAGGACTTCTAGTCTTT